CACGGGGCGTATCAAAGAGGGGCAGAATTAAGGTTGTATGGACATCTGGCATTTCTTAACTTCTTAAGTGCCCAGTTTTGCAACTTAAATAACTTAGGAAATTACATTTATATAAAACTTAGGCATTTTTAAAGTAGAAGGGTAAAGTAAAACTCAAACCACATATATTACTGGACTGTAACCATCCCTTGACTATGCACCTTCACTAGGATTGGAGCTGCACGTACCCAGCAGTGTAGCACAGACCTGAGTTGCTTGCCATTGCCAACTGTTTGAACCAAACGTCAGGAAGAAAAACTTATGCTAGGGAGAAGATGGTCCTTGGGGTTTAGGATGCAGGCAGGAAACCTTAACTGTTCTTCTTGGCTGCTTTCTTCCAAGTGCAAGATGGGCAGTGGATCCGTGTGCTGGAGTTGGACAGCGTTGAGGCTTGGGACGTACGTGGTGGTTTTGTATATCCATGTGCTGTACTTGGAGGGGAACGTGAGTCTGCTCTCTCCTCTCCCTTTGCATTAGTTCAGCCTGTCCTGGGACTCTCCCCGCTGCCTGGTTAACTTCCAGGGAGAATTTTGCTCTTGATGCCTTTCTGCCCTCCCAAAGTCATTTTGGAGCAGTTTCCTTTAGAAACATAAATCACTATCAGTTGTGGACTTCGTGCTGTATGCTAGCTTTATGCAAGTCCAAAATGAACTTATTGCATCACATTAGTATTTTCTTTTGGATATTTAGGTTCTCAGAACCTGTGATTGCCATAGTTAAAATACTTGAAAATAGTTGATGCGAGTGTCTCGAGTGTTCTTCAGTGACTGAGAGCACCACAATCGATGTGGATTCTCACCGTAACAGACTGCACGTGTTGTCAAGATCACAAACCCAGCTGATGGTGAAAACCTGTCAGTTCCATTCTCCTTCACCCTCGTGGGGCTCTGTTTATGGTCATTTTTTTTCCCAATATATAAGCCCACATTTTTAAAAAGGAAAATAGGAATTTGCCGCATGCAAAATATTCCCACTTCTGACACAGAAATGAAATGTGTTCTGAAACTGTTTTCTTGAAATAAATGATCTGTCATTGACTGTGAGATGAAGATGCCTCAAGTGGACCTTTTGTAAAGTACAAAAAAGCAGTGAAAATATTTTGTATCTTTAGTGCTACCCTTAGGATCCTTTTTTTCCTCCCCCGCTGTTGGACTCTGCATTAGCTCCAATGGGCTATTTTTTATGCTTGTCCAGAATATTGCCAAGAATATTGCCAATGTTTTTATCATTTATTTTAATTCTAATTGTTTTATTTCAATTTTCAACCAGCATTATTTTGTTTTAAATTGGAAAAGACTAATGTCTGTTTTCTTCTAATATTTGCAATTCAGTATCTTTACCTTGTGTTGTAACTTTCCCATGTCTTTTTTGGTACCGTTCTGCTTCCTGTTTTGTGCTTTTCTGTTTGGTGCTCCTTGTTTGCTCTACAGATGGGTTAAGATGTGGAGGGGTTTGCCCTCAAAATGTTTGATTGTTTGAGAGCCTGTTCAGATGACAATAACTTCTAAGGTGGCTTAAAAATAAGAGTGATTTAACAGGCCAGACAATCAAGTTTGCTATTCCTGCTCAAAATGGATTTTTTTTTTCTTTTCTTGAAATTGAATGCCGGTGCCTGCACTATTAACTGCAGTTTGGCAAACATAATACTGTAGCGTAGGTGCTGTTAAATGGGGAGTGTGGTCTGGTACACGAACGTCTTGGTATTAGCAGTAGTGTTATGTGCCTGAGATGCACATGCATCACCTATGGCAATAAACTGTGTTTGCTTTTTTCCTGCAAGCACAAAAGCCAAGTGGGAAGGGATATTTCATAAACCCAGTGCTATTGTGTCCTCTGGTCTAAGCCATAAAACAAGAGTAGCAGAGAAGTTCCCTTTGAACTTGAAATCCCTTTCTAAGCTGCTGATCTAACCTCAGTGAGAGAGGGGGACGACACCAGCCAGAAAAATTCCTCTTCTGGATATTTCCCTCCCACTCTGCGCGCCCCTTCCCCCCATTAAAAAAAAGGAAAAAAAAATCCTTAAGTGAGTTTGATGCTGCACCTCTGCCCATAAATTTAGAAAAATATTATCGTAATGTAGGTCAGTGAACTGAAACGCCACCGTACACCATGGGGGATTAAAGTCAGGGAGGCAGCCCTCTCCCACTCCCACTAGGTCATATGACAATATAAACAAGAAATGCAAGGAGCCTTCAGCTTTTTCTTGCCTTAATCCTTTGTTTATGCAGCACTTAAACTGACTTTTGGGGTCGTCTCTGTCTGGCATTAAAGCCCTAAAGCTTTTTGAAGTTTCCCTGAAGTTAATAAAATTAGTCTGCCCTCATTGCTAGGCCCCTTGTTGTTGCTTCAGAACAGGCTACATCTCCCTTACTGTCTTAGCGGCATTTGGCTTTTTAAGTTAATAATATTTTACAGCAAAAAAGGAGTATATGAGAGAGAAACAGAAAGATCTCCCAAAAGGCCCTTCAGTTAAAAGGCACAGTGATTGCCCTTGTAGATGTTCTGAGAACTCAAAGGGCATTAACTTAAAATCCAGTGATGAGGTAAATTGATGGTGAAGTAATTGGAACTGTTGAATCTCAATTGGAGAGAACAGTCCACATTTCTGTCTCTATGAAGAAAAACCTAAAAGTTAAACTTGTTCATTTATAAAACTCTTCTAGTTGAGAAGATGAGGACTCCTTCATATGAATTACCTGTGAGCTCTACCCCCTTCACTCATTCATTTTACTGTAAGGAGTCATCAGTTCTCACTCTTCTTGTTGCAGCTGCTCTTCTCTCATTATTTAGGTGCCCGTGGTGTTACGCTGGGGGGTGTTTGTGTGTGTGCAGTATTTACTGGAGGGGCCTGAGACTCCAGGGCATGAAGGTTTGGTTTCCAACTGCCACTCAACTTGCTGATTTCCCATTATCTTAGAGCTGTTAAAGCAATATTTATTTTTCCCCATATAACCCTTTGAAATACAAAAGGAATAATGTTGCTGTGTTGGATTGAACAGAATATTTAGAATCAGCTAGAGGAGGGCTTTTCTTACATGTTGACCAGCCCAATGAAAGGATTGATGCAGATGACTTCCTTGTCCCACAATATTTGCAATTGCAGTGTTAGACATAGTGTACAAGTGCAAGGGCCTAAAAAGAGCATTTTATTTTGAGGAGTGGGGATGTTTTGTTTTAAAGCATTAAGTGAATCTGACACACTTATTATCATACACACGTATTTCATTTTTTCCTGGTTGGTGTTCTCAGAAGTACATGGTGTGTACAACACTTGTTCACAGAAATCATTCTGGATTTCTTTGAACAGTGTTGTCAGGGAGAATAAAGTGAACCCTGCTAATATAAGTGTTCACCCTACAATTCAGGTTTTTAATTAAGTTAAGAGAGAGCTTTGAAGGTCCTCTGTGTGTGTATTGTGGTTTATGGTCTTCCTGTCCCATTTTGGGGGTTAACTAAGGTAAAAGCAGGTATGTGGAGAAGTCCTACTAAAGTGTAAGAGACCACTTGCATTTCAGTTATTTGCAATGAGAAGCAAATAGCAAGCAGTGGAGAAGAGGGATGTTTTAGGAATAATGACTTATAGGTGCAGGTCATTTTTATTAGAGCAGTTGATACAGTTGGAAAAATGACAGTTTTGGGGACCAAGTGCTTTCCCAAGTTGGAGTGAACAGCTTCTGCTGAACTTGTGCAGCATCCCCAAAGAAAGGCTTATGCAACTGAAAGCTTTATTGTCTTCCAACTGTACCAGTTGCTATGATAAAAATATTAGTTTTACATTTAAGCTGGGGGTTGGCAAGGGTGGTACTGCTGTTAATAGTTCACAAACTGTATTTTAGTTCCTGCGTGTGTGTGTGTGTGGTTGGGGGTGCTGGTGCTGCATGATCCTCTTGAGGATAGTTATAGCTGAGCAAGCGAACCCTGTTTCAGACAAGTGCAAGATGTAACTTACGATACTAGATTTAGCGTTAAGCTATGGACTGAGTCTTTTGGCATTGAAATACAGGCATACCTATAAAACAAAATAAAGAAAAAAAAAGGAATTTGAGTTTGGCATTGAAATACAGGCATACCTATATAACAAAGAAAAAAAAAAGGAATTTGAGACTGTGTGTAAAACAATTACTGTTTGTGGAAGAGGGTTCAGGAGAGTAGCTGTCAATACACCTGCAACATGTAGAGTCATCCTTTAAATCGGAGACTGCAACATGTAGAGTCATCCTTTAAATTGAAAAAAAAGGAGTATTCAAAATCTGTTGTAGTTCTTGAGCATTATTCATATTTTTTTTTTGCTCTTTAAAGCTCTTGAGTTAACTAAAAATTGTTCCTAAGATATGAGGAAAAGAACAGCTCAGCGAAGGGCTCAGACCTGGGTCGTCCCCTCCCGCTGGGGGACAAACCTTGAAATTAAAGTCGGATACAGTGGTCGTAGGCTTTCGATTTAACAAATCAGTGTGTGCGCAAAGGTGACTGATTTAAAAGGTTGTATTTGGAAAAGGAGGAATTCCATCGCCTCTTTGAAAGTGTAGCTACTGGAACGCAGTTCTGGAGTTGAGAGACAAGGAATACTTATATAGATGATAACGCACTTGCTGATGGAATGACTAGTGAAATAAACACCGTGTAGGCTGGTATGTAAGTGCTGTTCACAGAAAGATTTCAAAGCAAGTAAGAGATTTTAATTAACCATTCATTACATCACATTTGAGGCGCATTTTTTTTTCTCATGTTGCAAAAAGGAAGGTAAAAGCAGAAATAAATTCCTTTAGCCTACTCCAGCTAAGAATACAAATTTTATTTAAGCCTGAGCTGTTCTAATCTAATCTAATGCTCTTTGTTCAGTAGCAGGTAAATGGTTTTCAAAGATACGGTGGTGAAAGTCACCAAACTATAGTGCATCTACTAGGTGTAATTTTTCATGTCACTTTAAGCTGTAGACTCATGAAGTCGTATTTCTTTTGCAGGTGATGGATGATTACAGTGTGATTGGTCGTTCATTGTTTAAAAAGGAAACAAACATCCAAATTTTTGTGGGTTTAAAGGTCAAACTATCGACAGGAGAAGACGGAGTAATAGAAGGTGGTTTTGGACAAAGCGGCAAATTTAAAATCCGAATTCCAGGTAGGTGCTCATAACTTCACTGAACAGACATGAATCTGTCAAGCACAGAGGATCTTTCCATGCTGCAAGGCTATCTGAATATATCCAGTAGGTTCCTAAAGGCCGTGGCATCAGTGCACACTTGTGTGGACACTGAATATTTGGTGGATCACGCTGCCTTTAATTAAATGATGGTGGTTGTGGCTTAATGAGATTGGCCTGAAGCCATGTCTGCCTGCAGGCAAATGTAGATCTGAAAATGATTTCTGCTTAAGTATCGATAGCAGGAACAGTGCTGTGTTCAGGAAAGGCTTGTGGAAATCTGTGTGGTTTTTCAACAGAGCAGTTGAAGTAAAGCAAACCTGTTTTTACCTATAGCTACTTATTAAATACAGCATTCTGTTTGTAAGTTTCTTAGGTTTACTGTTCTGCATGTTACTACCTTAATTGCCTTGCAGAAACTGCAAATGAATGAGCTTTTAGGGATCTCAAGGGGTTTTTATGACTCGTGTCTTCTGGTTTTGTCATTTTATGAAGCACTGTATTTTGATCCTTGTTGAATTGCTGCAAGAATTTCTGCCTTAGCTTAAAGCATGGGGAATGGTGGGTGCCAGAGTTTATAAGAGGTGTCATTGGTGTTGGTTTTTCCTTTACTGTTGAGGCTGACACGTTATTCTGCACCTCTGAACAGTGATAATAAGTGCTGCATTTACTTCAGATTGTCGGGTAGTATTTCAACAATGCTAGTAGCATAGTACTAGTAGGACTTTGCATTTCTCTAGTGTTTTCAGCCCAGTTAGTCGTTAGTCTTCCACTCTATCTGGGCAGCTGAGCAAAACTACTTCTGTTGTACAAGAAGAGGAAAGGAAACACGATGCTTCGTGACAGCCAGCAAGCATGTGCCATTGATCTGCAGGGAAACCTGGAGTTTCCTGACTGCTGGCCAAAGATGGACAATTTGCTATTTGACTTCAGACTTCTGGATGCAAGTGTATTAAACTTGGCCCCTAGCAGATAGGCTTTTGAGCTGTCAAATGAGAATTTCTGGCTAAGTAAAAAGCTCCTGTTTTCTCTCCTAGCTGTAGTAATTCCAGTTTTGTCATCAAATTGCAGACTTTGCAAGTAGGGCTGAAAGCCTATGACCAAGCACAATAAATACTTAAACTGCACTGGGTGTTTTTCATTTTTTTTCTCATGTGGAAAAGCTTTTTTTATTTCATTTTTGTATTGTGAAAAAGCTTTTAAACGTTTGCTGAGATGCGTAGATTCCAATAGGTGGTGAAATAGTGTGTGAATGGGCTGCACCGCTGGAAAGAGTTCAGGCTGAAAATGAAGATGAGGCCTTTAAAAATGTGGTGTTTCTGGTAATTTTTGTTCCACGGTGGTGGTAGACCAGTGAGAAGATACTGGATTGAGCAAACTCTTCACTTTGTGGGTGAGGGAGAAGCCTAATGAGGAGGAGTCTTTGTCCTTGTTGTCCATGTAAGAAGGAGCCAGGCCCGTGAACCAGCAGCTGTGTAAGGAAATAGCACACAAATTTAGAAAATGGCTTTTCAGTTTTCAAGCTGAGTTATCGTAGAAAGAAATTGATGCATTTTACCAAGCTGTTCCCTATCTAATCTTATGTTTTCCTAATGTTCCTGATGAAACAGAGGGCCCTTTATAGTGTCTGCTCTTCCAAGGAGAAGAATGTGTGTGCAAAATATTGAAATTTAGTATTTCTATAAAGTCAGCAGAATAATGTAACTTCGTTTTTCTTTAGCCTGGATCAAATTTGGGTGCTTTAGCTCTCTGGAAAGAAGCAGCAGTAAGTTAAACGGTTCATTCAATTTCGAGCAAAATGTGGTTAGGAGGGAAAACTCATGCGATTTGGAAGGGTCTAAATAACTGTTTCTTTAAGAGTTACAAGGATTTGTGTGTAGGGGGAGGGCTGTTGCTGTGATGCTGTTTAAGTCAACTGCAGTTCACATTCCTTTGTTAGGTCAGTGTTGCTTTTTTAATGCGTCTGCATCCTGTTTGTGGGTTTTCCTCTTTTTATATATTGAATTTAACTGATCAGATTCTTTTTTTCCCTTCCCCTCTATTCTTCAGCTTGGTTTCACTCATTTCTGTTTTACAGATTTCTTTTTTGCCAAAATCTTTCCCATATATATATTTACACTTTATTTTTCAGTGATTCCTTCACAAATATATCAGGGAATGGGAGGGAAGGGAAGGAAATGTCCAAATTGAAACTGCCTTAACTGCCTCAGCCTGGCAGTCAGTCAGCCTTGTCTTATTTAAAACCAGTGTTAACCTCTGGACTTGAGTAGCTGTTGGGATAGTTAACCTTACGATAGCTGAAGGCTGCTTTTACTGTTTTCAGATGGTCCTTTCTAAAAATCAGGTAGATGTGTTGGAGACACTTACCTTGACCTGTAAGGGTGACACGTCGCACGGTGCAGCCCGTGCCAGGGTGGTTCTGGTACCAGAACCCTGCGCCCGTGGGACGTGCCGGGGTCTCCCCGCGCTCCCTCTGTCGCTGGGAAATGGCCCCTTTGGCTGTAGACCTTCTTTCAAGGACCTTGTGTGTGTTATGTTTTCTGTGGGCTGAAACTTGGCAGACCTTGGAACCCGGAATGATGGAACACAGGATCTGCTGCTTTTTCTGGCACTGCTTGTGTGTAACTAATTAAGATACTCCTCTCTGTTCTGCGAAATGGGGGTAATTATTATCTGTTCTGGAAAAAAAAAAGTCATGAAACCTCTGATTAATCTTATTTTGCAATTGGAACATTGATATGTCTTGAAAAGGTGCAATTACCTTCTTTTAAAAGAGTTCAAACAAACAAGAAAAGTGTCTAGAACACAGCATGCAATTAGAAGTTCCTCAGCCCCAGAAAGATGTCAGCACTTTGGAAGAAATTCAAGGAAGAGCAACAAGAATGCTGAAGAGGCTGAAGGGATTGATTTATGAGAGAAAGAAGATGAAAAGAAATGCATGAAACTTGGCTAAATGATGTCTGAGTGGGAGATACAATTATCTGAGAGTACTTGAAGAGCCTAATGGAGCAAAATCCCTTCGGGTGGTCTAAGGAGGTAGAACCAAGGCTAATAGCATGATGCAAAACCCAGGGTAGCTTGATGAGATGTTACCAAGCAGAGATTTGCAGAGGAAGATGCTCAAGTTGTGTTTTGAGAGTACTCATAGGGAGCTCACTCCATGTGTTTGGTAGTGTCTGTTTGAGGATAAAAGAAAAAAATTCCCAAGGATAATTGTAGTTAGAAAAACAGTGTATGTAACGTTCAGGTAAACCTCTATTTCCTGAGTGATGAGAAGGAATTTTTGATGCTGTTTACAGTGCCATCTATTTTTTTTTTTTTAAGTGTGTGTGGTGGTGTGGTGCACATTAGCTGGCAAACCCCCTATTCTGTAGGGCTGGTTGTGGGGCTATTTGTGCTTTAACAGAGGAAAAAGTTTAAAGATGTATTGCTTTACAAAATGGTTTAGTTTTCCGATTGGTTTTATCAAATACATAAAAAGGAGGCATAAGCAGAGCCCTTGTGAATTTACAGCTTAAACAGAATTTAACAGAAAGTTTAAAAATCGCTGCCTTGCAAGTTTGCGCTGTGTTCTGCAGGTCTGGGGAACGAGTGGAGAGGATCATCCACCGTTCAGTCCCGGACAAGTTGGAGAAGACCGAAACACTGCTGAAGTGTCCTACTCTTTAAAAAGCTAATGATGAGTGTGCTGGAAGATGGCTATTTCACTTTGCAGCACTTAGGATTCTCATGCAGGTTGATAAGAAATTCAGGGAAAAGTTCAGTGAATCATTTAAATAAGTTATTGGTAATTGCTGATTTTGTAAATTGCTTGTCTGATACTTTACCCTGTCAAACTTGATTTGGTTTGCAGAATCATAGTCTGATTTGGTGAGTCTCATGACATTGCTTAACCCGTTGGCTCTAGATATTCCAGTTGCACTAGTTCTTGTGTGTTGTTTGTCTTGTGTTTAATTATTGTAAGATACAGCAGCTTTTAAAATCTAATTGGGACATACGTAGTATCTCGGGCACGGTTCACTTTCCTTTCAGACTTTGCTACTAATGTAGGTGTTAGTGAAGTGTTCATCCTTTCTGTTGCACTGTGGTGTGTTTGACTGCAATTTTTTTCTACTCTTTTTGAGTTCAGTACAGTAAAAAGTGCTATACATGAGATGTGCTAAAAAGCTACATTATTTCCTAACGCGAAAGAAGTGGTGCATATCTACCAATTCATAACAGTTCAGCACGTTTCTGAATTGAGCAAATTTGAATGTAATAAAATGCACGCTCGTTGCAGGCAGAGATACAAGTGAGAAAATTGGACTGCGAGCTCTCTTACTTCGGGATTGTTCATAGCTGTTCACGATAATGGTAGTCTTAAATTTCTTAAAACAGGTGAAGACAAACGTGTTGGTGACCATTTCTATTGTGCCAGTTTTGCAGTGCTCCGTGTATAAGTGTGATTGCATATGTGAGAGCAGGGCTGTGTTCACCGCTTGCATCTCTTGAAGCGCTGACCGTGCCATGGAAGTCTCCTCTCGACTAGTTCAGGGGTCCCAGGGCCTGGGGGATGTTGCAGTGCTGCTCTCAGATGATGTAAGGTAGAACTGAATTAACCAATGTGCTTTTGTTCTTGAGACACGCTCAGCTTTACGTGCAATTAAGGATAGAAGTATTAACTATCGTTTTTTTCCTCCGCTTTTTCTTAATGTGTTGTGGAGATGCTGTGTCTTCGGGGTGGTATTTCTGTATCTCAAGATCTGTATCTTGAAGATACCTTCAGATGCAGGTGGACTTCAAATAGTCAAAAGGAAACAGCATGTTTCAAACTGATTTGGGGGGCAGTCTTCACTGCCATCAGCAGCAATAGGACAGTCTCAACTTCTTCAATTGTATTGAGAATAATTAAACGTTCTGTCACTAAGCAGCATTTTATTTTCTGTGGGAGATCCTGGCATTCGCAGTTGTTTGTGTTGCACTAAAATAAGAAGCTTTGC